TGTGTTGCCATCGTTACTGCCTGTCAGTCAGGTTTGAACAGCCTGGCAATCGTCTCTAACAACCACCTTCCAGATTATTGGAGGGCTCACTGCTATAGTGGTTATCCTTGGACTTTGATGAGCCAACATGTTCTGCTCTCTAAGAAACCAAAACGAGATCTGTGCCATGCACAGTAATGGGCATGCAGTAGTCCTTATTAATTATTGGATAATCATTATCATAGTCTCAGAGTTTGCTGAAGGTCAGTAGCATTGCTTAGCCCTTGCAAAAGCTATTTCCGTTACAGCAAGGAGTGCATCTGATGCTTCATCGGTTCTTTCTCGCCCATTTAGCAAAATCTTTCTTGAGCCAGCTATTGTTCAAGTACTAGAAAAGATACACTAACTTTAATTTGAGAACATTTTCTCCTGCAACCATTTGCTGGGTCAGCCCCTAAAGACTTAGGCAGCTGCTTTGCCTAAATCAACAGTTCTCAATTCTGCCTGTATTTCGAATTACCTGGGAGTTTAAGAAAAATATCTGTGGCTTCCTAGCTCCTCTCCTACCTATTCCTTCCCACATCAAGGTTTTTGATTCAGGTGGTCAGGAATGGAGCCCAGCTTCTCAAAGTATTTTGAATATTCCCAGGTGACCCTAATGTTCTGCTGGGATTGAAAACTGCTGGTATAGATGGACTCTTTTTTTTTTTTTAAGCACTTGTTAGCATTTAATGAACCCCCCCAAACGTCCAAACGTGGCTTCAAGCTACTAGAAGGCAGGCGCCCCCGACACCCTTAATCTTCTCCTCTGCTCTTCTACTGAAGAATTTGGCCTTCACGATGACAGGCTGTTTTGGGAGTTTTCCCTTTCCCAAAACTTTGTAGTAGCCCGATCGCACCACATCAATGATAACAGCAGCTCCAGTCTTGTTTTTGGCGGCATTTACCTGTGTCTACTCACGACCAAGGTCCACAGTTTATCGAGGTCGACGGTTGGGCAGAAGCTCTGGTTCCTCTTTAAGTGGTAATGTCTCATACCAACTTTTCCAAAGTAACCTGGGTGATATTTGTCGAAGTTGATCCTGTGGTGATGCATGCCACCAGCATTACCCCGGCCTCCTGGGTGCTTCCGGTGCTTGCGGATGCGGCCGTGGCTCACGTGGCCCCCGAAGTTTCCGGGTCTTCCTCAGTCTGGACGGCATGTCGGCAACTCAGACGGAAAAGGGAGGACTTTGCGAAATCTCGCGAGGTACCGATAACGGGGGCGGAGCCAACAAGACTCACATCTGGCCTATAGATGGACTCTTAACCAAGTAGTGATCATACTAGCACGGTTCCCATGAATGTGTGTGTTTATTGAAGGTGCTTTTGAATGTGGAGGAAAAGATCAGGTAAAAGCCCTGTCTGTCATGTGGGGTGCTCACAGCAGAATCCTGATGGACAGCGACTCCCCTGGACAGTGACGTCAGTGCCCTTACAGACAAACCACAACCTCCATGTCATCCTTCTGACTTAGCCACCTCACCTGCGGCCACCACAGGTCACAGGGGACATATGGTGTAGGAAGGTAGATGGTGTTAGACAAAGACTCGTTTGCTTCTCTTTCCCAGCACGGCCCCGCTACAATGTCGTCATGTTTGATGTCGACAGTAAGGACCCAACACTGGGAATGAGTTGTCCACCACCAGCTTTTGTGGACCAGCCTTTCCTGCAGAAGGTCAAAAGCATCTTGACTCCTGAAGGTAGGAGATACAAAAGGTTGGGGAGGGAGGAGGGATGGGTCCTTTAAAAATTGTTTTCTTTTTAATGAAAAAATGGGCCTGTCATAAGTGTGTAGCTCGATGAATTTCCCCGAATTACACACCCGTTTACTCTCCTCAAACACAGAACACTTGTAGCCCCCCAGAAAGTCCACCTCTTACCTCCTTCCAATAACTCCTTCTCCTCTCAAGGATAACCCGTATCCTAACCTCAGTCAGTACAGCTTAGTTTTGCCCATTTTTGTTCTTTGTATAAATGGAATCTTATGTTACATATTATTTGTTTTCTTTTACCCAACATGATCTTTGTGAGGTTTATCCATAGTGTTGTGTTTACATTGTTATTTATATTATTGTGTAGTATCATTGTGTGTCTATATTGCATTCGTTTCTCTATTCTGCTGTTGGTGTTGGGTCATTTCCTACTTGGACTTTTATAAGCAGTAATAACATCAACATTCTAGTAGATGGCTTTTGGTGAAATATATTTGCAGGTCTGTCGGGCATATAGATGGGGTTGTAATTACTGGATCATAGTTTACTTGTAAGCTGGGGTTTCCTAGATGTTACCAAACAGTTCTACAATGTGTAGTAATTTATATTTCCCCCAACTTGGTCATGCTAGCTACCATTTGATTTCTTTCCATGTGGGCTGCCCTGGGTGTTAATGCTGTTTCATCTTCATAGCAGCCCATTTTCAGATAAGGAAACTGAAGTAAGGAAACTTTGCCAAGGTGACACAAGGTAACAAGCTGGGGCTCCAACTGATGTCCTTGTGACTTGGAAGCTAGAACTCTTAGTCCTTATGTTGACAGTCTCCCAGATGTTTTGATTTGGTGTCAGGTAATTGGGTGAACAGAGTTTTTGGGAACCTTCATTGTCATAGGTCAGGGTAACCTTGGCCCTCTTCCTGGCAGATAAATACTCCGTAATGTATATGTCAGGAATGTAACACCCCTGTGGAGTTGGCACATTTTTTTCTTGGGGTATTAATTACTTCTTTCTCAAAGCATTTCTTTGGGAAACAGGCATGGAGAATGGTAAAGTAAATTGTTAGCACAGAAGAGCAAGAAATTAGCTTTAAGTTTTCTCGTAGTTCACATATTCCTGCCTTCATATGCATTGTGCTCTCTGCAAACTCACTGCAGCTGTGTTTTCTTAGGCTACCAGCTTCCCCGTGGCAGGAATCAGTGTATTCCTCAGAGCTGAACCTTGTCTCCAACATGTCCCCTGATCTGCGAGACATGACTCTTTCCTTCCCACTCTGTAGGTGTCTTTATCCTCAACCTTGTGTGCCGGGACCTGGGGCTGAAGGACTCAGTGCTGACTGGGCTCAAAACGGTCTTCCCTCTCCTGTATGTCCGGCGAATTGAGGGTGAAGTAAATGAGATCCTGTTCTGTCAGCTGCACCCGGAGCAGAAACTTGCCACGCCAGAGCTCTTGGAAATGGCCCAGGCCTTGGAGCAGACCCTGAGGAAGCCTGGGAAGGGTTGGGATGACACGTATATACTGTCAGATATGCTCAAGACCGTGAAGATTGTGTGACTGCTGGGCTGGGAATCTGCACTGCTTCCTGCCACACTGACCTTGGGCTCCTAGCCTTCCAGAGATTGAAGAATTATAATGCACAATATTTTTTAAGCCTCATATTTTTCTTGGTTTCATACTCAGCTGCATGCGACCTCCAGCTTAGTGAGGTTGCCTGAAGATCTGGGGAAATAAAAAATGTCCTCCCATCCTGTCCCCTTTAGTACCACTTGGGTTGATTCTCTGTGCTTCTTATGCTGTGTCCTTGAATAGGATTCCCAGCTGGAGCCCCTGACAGATGCTGATGCCTTAAAGACTATACACCAAGCTCCTTAGGATGGAAGACAATCAAATTTGATCGCTGGTTTGCTTTCACTTTATCTTCCTATTGGTTCTGTAGGAATGATCTCAAGTGAGGTAGCATAGCATTCTGTGCCAAAAGACTGTAAAGAAAGTAGGATATCCATAGACGTGAGTCAGGTTTGAGAGAACATCTAATCCACTCTGTCTCCTTCCAGATGGAACTGCTGTTGACATGATCCCAAGTTTTAAGAACCTGCTAACCCACTTTAACAACTTTCCTCAGCTACCCAAACCTTGTAGCCTAAGCTCTTTGTTCTGGTCTCTGTGGAAGGGTTGGGTGTAAGTGGCCCCATAACTGCATGTCGGAGACAGCCAACTAACGTCTCCAATATCGGTTTACTTTCCTTCATTGACTGACAGCGATGTGTGGGAACCATCGTAAAGACTGTGGTGGATGTAAAGATGGTTAAGAATGGCCAGAAAACATGGATTAGTAATAAAAATGAACATGTTCCAGTAACTTTAAGTGATTCACATACACTATCTCATTTAATGAAATAAAGGAACGTTAAACCAAAACTACATCTAACCTCAAATCTTATTTGAGCCAGCAGCATCAATCCTGTCTATTAAAACTGTAAAACCAGCAGTTTAGAGATTGGCTTAAATTTCATCTCCTAATTATGCCAAAGCTGACTTAATGAGCAATGCCATGGAAAAGAAACAAGTTGTCACCATCCACCACCCCAGCTTACTTTACAGGCCCTTTCAAATGGACTCTTAACCTCTTGAGGCGAAGCATATTTTAAAGGTAGGGTGTCATCCTTACAGAATTGTGTCAGCGCATTGAGGAGAAAAGATAGAAGGACAGAGTAGGGTTTTTGGATTTTATCCATTACAAAGACTTGGTGTGTTCCTTAAGGGAGGATCTTCCCCTGGAGCCATGTAAAGGGAAGGCTATGTCTTGTCATGCCCCTGTACCTCAAAGGGCCTCAGTTTGGGAATCGTCAATTGTCTTCTAATCTGTAAGCTCATGCAGTGTTAGGACAGGTGATAGAAGACCAGGGTCTGAGTCAAAAGATCTACTCTGACTGCCCTTGTGTCCTCTCACTCTCTCAAGCTGCTGACTTTGGAATAGCACATTTGGGTGGCACAGCCAAGCTAGGGATTTATCAGAATGAAGATGAAGTCCCAACTATATCCTAGAGTTGTCCAGGGAATTAGGCTTATTGGAAAGAAGCCTTTGGAAGTGGGAAGAGGCTGGCAGGGGTAATGATAGTTGTGTTCAAAATTTTGGAAGTCTGTGGGTATGAAAGAAGAGTGAAGTTGATTGTGTGTCTCCAAAGACTGAAGGAAGGCCAGTGGACAGAAATTACAGTTGGGCAGCTTTCTGCTTCATTTCCTACAAAGAGATTTGTACCAACTTTGCTCACTGGAATACATGGTGGGACTCAGGCCATTTACTCAGATGCTGGTCTTCACTCCCCTTGGTGTGCTCCCTCAGTTGTGAGGAAAGGGTTTTCTGTGTTCAGGCCATCCCCTTGGCCTGTATCCCATCTTTCCCAGTGGAGAACTGTTCCCTCTTTTGGGGGTGGGGAGTGGGGAGTAGGGATGAGTTTCCATTTTCTTTTTATTTCTTTTTTATTGAGATATAATTGACAAAACATTTAGTTTCAGGAGTACAACATAATGATTCGTTATTTGTATGTATTATGAAAAGATCACAATAAGTCTAGTTAACATCTAAGAGCTGTTCACTTTTGTATTGATGACTTGCAAATGGGTCTTTATGAGAATTTTGCCTAACTTTAGGCATAGGAATTGTGAAGGAGGGGGAATCTTGTGAACTCAAATACCTTACAGACTAGGCAAGTAACATAAATGTGTGAAGTGAGCAGGCATGAAACAAAAAGGCTAGGATGAAGCCTGCAGCAAACCAGAGAATAAGGACTCCATCAAAAGGCAGCAGCTGAGAGCTGTCCTGCAGGAGTGCTGTCCCAGCAAAGCTAGATCTTTGAAGAAAAGCCAGAAATCCTGAATGTTTCTGTGTGTGTGACTAAAAATATTGGCCAGTCAAAAAGTATCTTCAAGGGACGCCTGGGTGGCTCAGTCAGTTAATGTCTGCCTTCTGCTCAGGTCATGATCCCAGGGTCCTGGAATCGAGTCCCATGTCCGGCTGCTTGCTCAGCAGGGAGCCTGCTTCTCCCTCTGCCTGCAGTTCCCCCTGCTTATGTGCTCTCTCTGACAAATAAATAAAATCTTAAAAAAGTATCTTCAAGACATAATCAACCGGTGGGTAGGTAATTTGCATCTTCCACCGTGGGGGAAAGCTCCAGAGCACTTGAGAATCTGGCATACACCCAGGCTCTGAGTGAACATAAAACAAGGAGGAAGCTGTTAGCTACCGGTCCCCAAAGTCTGCTAAAGTCCCATCTTGTGAAATGACCTACATTTTCTTCAATGGCTGCTCCTGCGTGGAGGTAGTCCCACCATCCTTGGGATAGTGTACGGTTTAACTTCCCAGGACTCTCAGAGGCTGAGGGATAATAAATCACATGACAAACCCCTCCTACTGCAAGACAAGTTCTGCAACAATGTAAAATTGATGAGGCTAGCTGTTGCCCCTTTCTCCACCCTCCCCCAACACTCCAGTTTTTCAGTGTACCTCCAATCTTCCATCATGGCTTAGCTTGCTAACTGAGCCATTTCTTGAGTCCATCTTATGGGTAGACCTGTAGTTCTCAGCTTCACATTGGAGTCATCTGATATGGTAATAATGGTCTGACATGTCCTAATCTTGGTAACCTGTAAATATGCTACATTACATGGCAAAGGGGAATTAATGTAGCAGATGGATTTGATACTGTAAATCAGCTGACTTTAAGATAGGAGATTATTCTTGATAATCTGGGTGGGCCCAGCACAATCACAAGGGTCTTGAAATGTGGGAGGAGGGGGCAGAAAAGTCAATGTCAGAGTGACCTAATATGAGCAAGATTCGACTGATGGTTGCTGGCTTTGAAGATTTAAAGAGCTCTTCACTTCGGCTCAGGTCATGATCCTGGAGTCCTGGGATCGAGTCCCTCATCAGGCTCCCTGCTTGGCGGGGAGTCTGCTTCTCCCTCTGACCCTCCCCTCTCTCATGTGCTCTCTCTCATTCTCTCTCAAATAAATAAAATGTTAAAAAAATAAAGAACTCTTCGGCCTCTAGAACCTGGAAAAGGTGAGAGAACTGATTCTCCCCTAGAGCCTCCAATAAGGAATGCAAATCTGCCAACATCTTGATTTTAGCCCAGTGAGACCTCTTTGGACTTCTGCGCTATAGACATAAAAGATAATAAATGTGTTTTGTTTTAAGCCACGAAGTCCATGGTAAATCCTTACAGCAGTAATAGAAAACTAACATCCCTGGGGAATTTTTTTGTGTGTGATAAGAACTTTTAAGATCTACTCTTAATAACTTTCAAATATGCAATATAGTATTTTTTTTAAAGATTTTTTATTTATTTTGACAGAGACACAGCGAGAGAGGGAACACAAGCAGAGGGAGTGGGAGAGGGAGAAGCAGGCTTCCCACTGAGCAGGGAGCCCGACGCGGGGCTCGATCCCAGAACCCTGGGATCATGACCTGAGCTGAAGGCAGACACCCAATGACAGTCACCCAGGCGCCCCTGCAATATAGTATTATTAACTATAGTCACCATGTTGTACATTATGTCCCCATGACTTATTTTATACCTTTTTTGTACCTTTTGACCCCCTTCACTCATTGCACCCACCTTCCCCCCCCCACCCGCACCTCTGGCAACCCTCAATCTGTTCTATCTGTGAGCTTGGTTTTGGGGTCTTTGTTGTTTTTTTAAGATTCTACATGGAAGTAAGAGCATATGATAATTGTCTTTCTCTGACTTATTTCACTTAGCATAATGGCCTCAAAGTTGTCCTCCATGTTGTCTCAAATGGCAAGATTTCATTCTTTTTTATGGCAGAATAATATTCCATTATATATATGTACCACATCTTCTTTATCCATTCATCCAATGATAGACACTTAGGTTGTTTTCATATCTTGGATATTATAAATAATGCTGCAGTAAATATGGGGGGACACATATATGTTTTCGAGTTACTATTTTAATTTTCTTCAGATAAATAACCAGAAATGGAATTGCTAGATCGTAAGGTAGCTCTGTATTTAATTTTTTGAGGAACCGCCATACTGTTTTCCACGGTGGCTGCATCATTTTACATCCTCACCAACTGTGTACTACATGGGAAACTAAAAAAATACTTAGGTTTGGGTACCACTCCTAGAGATTCTTCATTTAATTGGTTTGGGAGGCAGCCTCTGCATCAGACTTACCAAGAGCTTTCTAGGTGATAATGTGCAGCCAAAGTTGAGGACCACTGAGGTAAATGTTATATGAGTGGTTGTGTTATTAGGTTATGCTATTCCCATTACTGCCTTAGCTCTGAGATGCAAGCAGCAACAGTCACTTGCTGGAATATGCTCTCCTCCCACTTTGTCTAGGAAAAACACACTGTGTTTGCCTTTACTCAGACTCAACACTCTTACACCAGTTGTGTAGGGTTTTTTCCTCCATACCAAGCAATGCTCCAACTCGTCAACACCAACAAGGTGTCATACGGTTCAAGTCAAATCGGACACTTCTGCCTGAGGTTAGTGCAGACCTACAGACTCCTCACCCCGCTTCATATTCATCTCAAAATCGCGAGCCCAGGTTGTCTCTTGTGCTTCTCAGCAACTAGCTGTAAGTCACAGGTTCCCATGGCCCCTACTCGGCTTTGATAATTTGCTAAAGCAGCTCACAGAACTCAGGACAGCTGTTAACTTAGATTACCAGTTTATTATAAAAGGATATAATTCAGGAACAAGCAGATGGAAGAGATGCACAAGGCGA